CGTGCAGAGGAGCGAATTGCTGGATTGGAGGCATACCAGGAGCAGGCCAGCCGAGAAGGCCTACAACTGCGCAGGCAACTTCAGGCCGCCATGAAAGAAAGCCAAACCCATGCCGCTGACAATCGTGAATTGAAAGCGCAGTTGGAGAACCAACACCGTGAGGCTGGTGCGCTAGCTGTGCAACATGCCGCTCTGAAAGATCTTCTTGGTGAGCGGGGTGTTTCGTACTCTGATAGCCGTCGCTCGCCTCACCTTGAATCCCCTGGATCTCGTTTCGGTACCCCTGAGGCAGGTCGACTCCGCGAGTTGGAACAGCAGCTTTCAGCTAGCATGAAAGCCCACGAGGAATTGAAGTCTTCCTTCGAGTCTCGTGAGCAGGAGGCCGACCGCACGTATAGGGAGAAGTTGGAGCAGCTCGAGAATGATTACCAGTCTGCCGTCCATTATGTCAAGGGCACGGAGAAGATGCTGAAGCGCATGAAAGACGAACTCGCCAGATACAAGTCTCAAAATGCCAAGCTTCAATCCGAATTAGATGAGGCACAGTCCTCCCTGGGGGAAGCCTCAAGCGGGCCGTCAGAAGCTCCAGCCGAGTGGGAAGTCGAGCGAACCAGGCTTGAGAAATCGATCTCAGACCTTGAGCAGGAATCATCGGGTACGATCGCCAGCTTAGAGGAGCAGGTTAAAAGGCTCAGGGACGAACTTGCTACCCTCGAGGCGGACAAGACCAGATCTCAATCCGAGCTCGAGCACGTGCAACAGGAGCTTGCAGCAGCAGCTGAGCGGAGTCGTGCAGAGCTGGAACAGCTCAAGAGTGAGAACGCTTTGCTTGAGGACCGGGCGTCTGATGCTGAGCAGAAAGTCACCATGCTTCTTGATCAGGTCGAGGCGTCTGTCGGTCAATTCCGTCGCCAATCGCAGCCTGTGCAAATGAATGGTATTTCGCGCACCCACAGCAATGCCTCAAGCAACACCATCGGTGCTGCAAGCCGTCGATCCCGTGCCGACAGCGCTGTGTCGCAGGAGGAGGCTTTCCTGGACAACCGTAACTCCATGGCCTTGGATTCGTTGGCGAACGAACTGGAAGCTTTGCGTAGCCACTGGGAGAGCACAAACCGCAATTACCGGCTAAGCACGCAGTCCGATTTTGATCGTACCCCAACGAAGGAGACGGGATTGAGTGACAGCCTGGCTGAATGGAGGCGGCGATTGGATGAGGACGAAGCCAGAGCAAGCTCTCCCGAAAAGATCCAACCCCGAAACGCAGCAGCACATCACGCCACAGCGAACATGATCTAAGGAGGCAGGATGACATCACTTGTCTTTCGCTTGTCGATAGTCAGGCTGCGATTCTCCATACTATTCCAGGAAGTTGCGCTGCTGGGTATGGTCATTGGTCCCCGCACTTGGTCAGATGACCATTAGGGCATTTCCATCTTGTGCTCATATGTTGACACTTCGTGGCCCGATTGCCATCAAGCTGCCGAGAGGCCTCAGGAATTGTGTCTCTGGCTTGTCCAAGCCAGCCTGTTTCTCCTTTGCCCCGATCCCATGCCCCTACCTCCTTTCCTACATTCACCTATTTTCCTGCCCTTCGTTCGCGTTTTCGTTTATACCCCTTCTTATTCTAGTTCCATACTTGGATTGTACTATTACCTCTTGTTAATTCTTAACGAAGCCTCTGTCCGATATGTATGAAAGACTATGTAGTCTAGACTCAATGCAAGTAACTGTAATTGCCCTGACTTCTCTCTTTTTGTCTCTTCGCCATTTGTAGGCAAATGTTCCTTCAGAGCAGACATATTCGCAAGGTCAAAACTATGTCAGCGTACATGCCTTAGGCCTCAGCGTCCTGAGTAGTAAGTACCAGGATACAGTTCACCTTGGCCTCCGCCTCACTCTGCCACTTGTCTCACTACCACTTGGCAGTAGCATTCACTCTGGTGAAGTATGAGCATGTAGGGAAGGGCCGAAGGCCTGGTGTCAGCTTGCCATTGGTCGACTCTGTAGGTGCGCCATCAATACTTATGAGTTGGTAGTGTATAGGTTAGATTCCACCACGGAAAGTCTTCGGAGTCAGTATAGAATATCTTGGCTGCTTGGTCTCAATGCAACAGATAAAAAACGATGCAGTCAGTTGCAATTGTCGTGAGTAGAGATACCGTTCTGGGAGGCGAATGGGTCAAATGTATTGCTTTTCCAAACAATATACGGCATGACGAGATCTTTAGGTCCCGTGTCCCGTGCTCGGCCCTATATATTCAGCCGCTGGAGGGCAAGTATTGACAACCCAGCCGAAAGAGCCGTGAACCACTGCCATTGTCGTGGATTTGGAACACCGTAAATATAGAAGATTTGGGCCAATGCTATCTGCATCTCCAGTGTTTTCTTCTATAAGTTTAATTATGATTTACTTGTTAAGGAACTCAAGTTGTGGTAAACAACGCATTGAATTAACCTGTCAGTCAGGCCCATTCAATCCACTTCAAAAAGGAAGATCCACGCAGTTGTGCGCATAAACAAACCTTAACTCCATCCAGCACGGGTGTAAGCTAGCTTTTGTGATAGTTCATATTTTGTTTTACAAATGTACAGTATGTACCTGGGAAAATGATCCGTGAGTGATCGATCAGATTTTGGATTCCATATGTGTACTGAGTAACACCCCACGATCGATAGTCTGTGATCTATCACCTCCCTTCCCCCCCCGCTCAATACGTGCAGTACCTGGAAACCAAAAAACAAGGGTGTGTGGGGAGGAGGAGTGGGTGGGTGCGTGCGTGTGGCACTCTGGGCTGGGTGTGTGCGGGTTGTGGGCAAATTTTCCAAAAGGAAAAAAAGTCTCGATCTCAAACTAGACCCAGCCAGCCTGTCAATTGATTGATCTGATTGTCACCGATAAGGCGCGCGCGCGCGCGTGTGTGAGTATGTCATGGCCTGTGGGTGTGGGTGTGTGTTTCTGCCCAAAACGAGGGCGGTATTTTTTATTCTCAGATGTCACCGGTGACTTGGGTACTGTAAATTATTGCCAGTGCTGTATCCGAGGTCATCTGCCAGGCTAATGGGTCACCGCCCGGGGTTGTATTGGTGGGAATGAACGGGCTGGATTGATGGCGATGATGATGATGATAATGATGTTGTTGTTGTTGTTGTTGTTCAGGGTTGGTTGAGGTAATTAAATTCTGTGCTGAGCATAGCCTTGGTTTTTAGTCACCACTGCTAGGTTGCTACCTGAAAGGAAGGGTTGTGTCTTAGAGTAAGAGCATTGAAGTGAGGTGGATTGGCAGGACAGACAGGGCTGCCCTGCTTGGTTTTAGTATGGGTTTGCGGTGTATTGTACGTAGTGTACTGCATAGTGCTGGTTGCGGCCAATTCGTTGCTAACTATTAAGACAAAAAGCAACAATATATTCTCAATATTGTAGATACTGAAGGTGGGTTTGTACTGGGGATGAGCAGGTGGTTAGATCATCGACCTATTACTGTATCAATTTACGCATATAATAATAATGATGAGGTATTTCCTTCCTTCCTTTGAACCGCGGGGGAGGCGCGCGGCGACGGAAAATACAAGACGTACGGTTCTCCGCCACAACCGGCCCAACCTTACGTTACCTCGTTACCGACTGGAGGATTGATGATCGATGGACTGATTGACTTCTCGCCACTGAGCTAAACAACATTCTAGAAGATCAATGCAGATTGGTTTTTAAGATTTTTTTTTTTTTTTTTTTTTTTTTTTTTTTTTTTTTCCACTTTAGTCCCTTGGGTCTGAAGCATCGAAAGGATCCCCCCTAAAAGTCACATCACCCTGGAGATGGCTTGCTTGAAATCCCTCCATGCGTATAGTCATTCCTCTATCGAGGAGGACCAAACAACCTCCCCCTGCATGAGACAGTTAGGAGGCGTCAGGACCGAAATCTTGTTGAACTGTCAGCCTACCTGCCTGCCTACCTCTTCTGCCTGTTTTCCCGGTTTGGATTGAAGGGCATTGAATTGGGTTGCGACTGCCACCAGGCAAGAAGGGCAAGAATTGATGACTGTCAGAAGTTGGCCACTCGTTGACAGACGGGAGATGTGCAATTTGTTCTTCACCGACTCCTCCTCTCAGCCACGCTTCAATTGGGATTAGTACTTGTATCTGTAGGTTTCAATAGTACTTGAATCTGCCTTGTGCTCAGAGTGTTTTGCATTCACTTCCATATATTGAGACTGTAGATGGTCTCTGAAAACAAGATGTAGATGTCTTGTCCTCAAGCACAGGATCTGATGACTTTGATACTGGAGCTATACTGGAGAACTTTATACTATACTTACCCAAAATTACCATCCTGTATCTTTGCGTATTGATCCAAACGTGAAGTCAGAGCCGGGCCAATCCAACGCAACCAACCACTCACTGCATTTGCTTGGTGTCTTGTCTCTGCTTGGTGCTAAACTTATCACTCAATTCCCTCTCTTACTGTATGTACTCTTGCTGTCTCTCTCTTACCCGCCTCCTCCTCCCCCCCCCCCTCTCCTCTACTCTCGATTTGACCTGCTTTCATTTTCCTCTTCCCACCCACCCACCTCTCCTCCTTCCCTTCGCCTCCTCTTTCCTCCTCCTCTTCCTCCTCCTCTTCCTCCTCCTCCTCCTCAAACCACCTTTCACTTGTCAAGGCTTGGTCCTTGAATGAATATCGGCTGATATCGCTGCTTTTATTTCCTTCGTGTTTTTCTTCCCTCTATCTTCGTCGTAGCGTCGTTGTCCGTCTCGTTGCTCTCTTTCTTTTTCCGTCCACGTCCACGTCCACGTCGACCCGTTCCCGTGTTCGCCCGTTCGAAAAGGCTCATCACCTCAGCTCCCCTTTCTCTTCCCTCTCCGCCTTTTTTCGCCCATCCGCTCGGATTCTCACGGTCGGCTTCCCCTCAATCATCCACCTCCCTCCCTCATCCCATCTTACTTTTGTAAGATTTCTGGTCTATACCTGGTAAGTCTTCATTCGCTCCCCCCTGATACTTTCCTTCACCGTGTCACGTCTGCGTTGTTGCTGCTTCTCTCTTTGGGGGCCGTGGTCAGCCTCCCCCACCCCATTTGCCTGCTCCACGTCCGTCCTATTCACTATCTAAGCGCCCATCTGCATGCTGTGTTTGGTGATTGAACATCCTTTACAACACATTCCATTCCTTCCTTTCATACTCAATTGTGTCTGTTGTCGTGTCTGCAACGTTATCAACTGCCTTCGTCCTCCTGCCTCGACCGGGTTGTGGCTAATCGTTGATTTTTCTAGCACAGTTCGTCAAGAGATCGATCACAGCCGGTTGCTGTGACTACACTTGATCAGAATGACGACCATGGTGAGTATCCTCCCCACCTCTCTCTTCAGTATGGCCATTGCTAACGACACATCAAGGATTTGCGTGTCGGTAACAAATACCGCATTGGCCGCAAGATCGGCAGCGGTAGTTTCGGTGATATCTACCTTGGTATGTGACGTTCGATCCGGAATCGAATATCCTCTCGAGAACATTGAACTGACTGTGCTCCAGGCACGAACATCATTTCCGGCGAGGAGATCGCTATCAAGCTCGAAAGTGTCAAGGCCAAGCACCCGCAGCTTGAATACGAGGCCCGTGTCTACAAGTCTCTGGCCGGTGGTGTCGGTATTCCTTTCGTGCGTTGGTTCGGTACTGAGTGTGATTACAATGCTATGGTCATCGACCTTCTTGGTCCCAGTCTGGAGGACCTTTTCAACTTCTGCAACCGCAAGTTCTCGCTGAAGACTGTTCTCCTTCTCGCCGACCAGCTCATCTCTCGTATCGAGTACATCCATGCCAAGTCTTTCATCCACCGTGATATCAAGCCCGACAACTTCCTCATGGGTATCGGCAAGCGTGGTAACCAGGTTAACGTGATCGATTTTGGTTTGGCCAAGAAGTACCGCGACCCGAAGACTCACTTCCACATTCCCTACCGCGAGAACAAGAACCTCACCGGAACTGCTCGTTACGCCAGTATCAACACTCACTTGGGTGTCGAGCAGTCCCGCCGTGATGACATGGAGTCCCTCGGCTATGTCATGCTCTACTTCTGCCGTGGTACTCTGCCCTGGCAGGGCCTGAAAGCTGCTACCAAGAAGCAGAAGTACGACCGTATCATGGAGAAGAAGATGACTACACCTACCGAGGTTCTGTGCCGTGGTTTCCCCAACGAGTTCTCCATCTACCTCAACTACACTCGTTCCCTGCGTTTCGATGACAAGCCGGATTACTCATACCTCCGCAAGATCTTCCGCGACCTTTTCGTTCGCGAGTCCTTCCAGTATGACTACGTCTTCGATTGGACCGTCTACAAGTATCAGAAGAATGCCGCCATGATCGTGGACGCCAACAAGAAGGACAAGGAGGCTGAGGAGCAGCAGCGCCGTCAAGGTGTTCCTGCTGCTGCACCCATGGGAACCCCGGGTGCTGCCGCCAAGCCTGGTGCTATCTCCAGCCAGCGCCGCAAGGTCATCGAACGTGGAACTCTTGACAACACCCCGGACACCAACCGTGCTGTCGGAGGGAGTGACAGGATGTGAGTATCTGAAACCTAGGTTCCGTTGTAGGGAACCCCTTTCCTCTGCGTTTGGTGCTTTGCTATGACCCTGCACGTAGAGGTCGACTTGAATTCTGGAATCTGACTAATCTCATAGTCTTCGGCGTTAGGCTGCGTTCTGCTTCAAGGGTTGCTGCTTCAGGTGCTTTTGCCGCCCGTAGCCGTACGAAGCAGGACGATGGGTACGGTGCTCAGTGGTACTGATCTGTGCGACCTAGCAGTGTAGCTTGATCTTTTTACTCGGGATTCCGTCCAGCTTCCTGCGTGTTGACACTGTTCTATATCTATCTTGAGGAGCCCAGGCTTATCGACGATACTGGTGACCTTTTGCAGCCTGCAGTCAACCTTTCGGACTTACTCGCCAGGGATGTTCCCTTTTACCAATCTTTCTTTACTACTTTCCTTACTGCATTCTCTATTGGCCCGTTACCCGTTTAAAGATCGTCTTCCGGTTCGCCGCTTCGATCCGTCACGTTTTGTTGATCGGCTGTCTCAGGCCCTTCCGTGGAAAAAGTGCTGTTCTTCGCGCTCGAAGAGCGAGATACCACTCATTGATGGAAGGGCCTGGATGGCAGACTGAAAACGTTCTAATCGTGGCTATTTTACGTCTCACCATCTCGGTCCTCATGGTTACTCCTCCGATCATCGTTCAGCCTGTGAAGACTACAGCCAGTGACTGGGATGGCTTGACCGAAGGAGATTGCAAGAACGAAACAACCTGTTTTCAAGCACAACAAATTGTATTCGAGACCAGCCACTGTTGCCCGACAATCTCTTCCGGCCTCTCGGACTGTTCTGCCTTACAGTTCCCCTTCTATATCGATTGCGTGCTTTTTGTCATCCGTGATTTTATTTCTTTGTGTTCTCAGACTGTCATCATGTTGTTATTGACGCATCAGTGGGGACGTTGAAGTTCAGGGGAAGGGTATGTGAAAGGTGAAGAAGATGGCTGTTTCTTTGGTGGTCCTCGCGCTTTCGTGCTATGTTTTTCAGTCATGCAGTATGGGTCTTAGACTTGACGGCGGACTAGAGTCAGCATCCAGAGCTTCGGGCAGCCAGGGGAGGAGCACGTCTCGGCATATGGGTATTCGGCGACGGAAAATGGTTAGGGTCGCTTCCGGGGTGGTTTCTGCGTCGATTCACGTTGTTTCACTGATGATGTTTCATGTTACTCTGCGTTCTATCTAAACCTCACTCAATCACATATCACCAGGGACGGTCAGAGGAGGGCTGCTGCACGTTGCTGACGGACTTGGCAATGTTCGGGCATCAGCATGCTCGGGTCACGTCGGTAGCTTCAGCCTCGCCTCTAAATTCTCGAATCCCCCAGATTGTTATTCTTGAGCAATTGGCATCCCTTCGTTTGTAGCATTGTCGAATTTCCGGTTCCTCATATTGTAGGTTGTTACGGATATTGTATGTTCCAGTTGTGATAAGGCGGTCGACGGTGGTCATGGCAGTGGCCCGATCAAGCCAATGACAGCGGGGGGCGTGATCGGCCCTCGGGCCCTCTGAGCCGCCCCTCATTGCTTTTCCTTCCTTTCCTTCGATTGGTTTGGTGGCCCTTGAGTCTTTTGATGGCCCTGCCCCCATCCAGTCTAGACTGCCTTAGGTAAGGGTAAGGTAGTTCCTCCGTAGGTAAGCCCCTTCCGTGCAGTGGACCAGGCCCCGTTCTTCTTCATCGATTCATCCACCACCACCTCCGTTCCATCTCTTATCCCAACTCTCCTCTCGATCATTCTTGGCGTCAGCCTTTCCTGTCCCGTCGGATCCTCCTCAATTATTTATCAGCATTTATCAGCAATCACAAGAATCCCGACGGATTCAACTGTAGGAGAGATGGATTACTCCTTCTACTCTACTCCCAACTCGCAGCAGCAGCCTTATCCACTATACAACCTACACGGGCTGCCCACTCCGGACCAAGTGCCTCGTGCCGAAGATGCCCAGGGCACTTTTCCTCATCTTGTTCGCAGCCGCTTCCCCCCGTTCCCATACACCTTTTAGACGCAGTGGTCTAACTAAGCCATCTCATCAGGGATCACATAATTACCAGCCCTTCGATCCGAGTTTACGCTTTACGGATGCTCATGGCATTCGTTCTTTTGTCCCTCCCCCGCATTCGCCGCCCGAATCTCTGACCAAGCAATCGGTGTCCAGCAACGATATCGCCAACCCCAACTTTGACCGGGCTTCCCTTGAGGCTGATGACTTCCCTGTCGACTTCAACCCGGGCCGAAGTAGCAGCGAGGAGAAGGATAGCGTGACACCAGCACAATCTAAGCGGAAGGCACAGAATAGAGCTGCGTATGTGAATCCCTACTCCGTTGTTGGGCTTTGGTTGCCCTGCGGGGTGTCCTCAATGCGAGGGAGCTTTGCCCGCTGACCGATGGTTTGCTCTTGGATAGTCAGCGCGCATTTCGCGAACGCAAGGAGCGGCATGTGCGCGAGCTTGAGGAGAAAGTCAACAATCTAGAGCAGGAATCCAACACCTTGATGGCGGACAACGAGCGACTCAAGCGCGAGCTGGCTAGATTTACCACGGAAAATGAGATTCTCAAGGCGACGTCCGGCTCGTTCCGGCCTCCTAATCAGCAATCTATGGGTTCGGAACCGACGACGACTGGACCGCTGCAATATTCACCGACCGATTTCAACCCGGGCTCCGACTCCACTGGCGAGCTTCCACCGCGCCACAGAGTGACCACCTGTCAGGTCACCGGCGAGCGGCTTCTGGACGCGGGAGCCACTTGGGAATATATCCAAGAACATGAGCTTTTCAAGCGAGGGTCGCTGAACATGGCCGACGTGTACCAACGGCTCAAGGGCGCAGCTCAGTGTGATGGGACCGGCCCGGCCTTCCGAGAGAGCGAGGTGCGCAAGGCCATCGAGGAGAGCTCTGCCGCGTGCAGTGACGAGTTGATATGATATCCCTGTTTTCTAGCGTAGACATTCTTTTTCTCTCTCGTTCATTTACTTTATACACCCATCTACTTGCGAGTTTGATTTCTGGATGGTACTGATAAATGTGGCGTTCTGCTTGGGATATGATGGGACGTCCGATTGGACGCATCACTAATACACTTATACGAGCACTGGTCGGCAGCGTTCGTGCTCTCAAAAGACGTGGGCGACCTCATCTGTTCGACCTTCTTTGGCGTTGAACAGGGGATTATAGGAGTACCACAACGACGCCGTGGTCATTTGATTCGCAAAGTATATATACTTGTTATCTAGGCCATTTTTACGACTCCTGGGAATATAGGCCTTCATACTGTTCACCCACCATGAGCTGTCTCAGCCTGCAATGTTGCTTATAAATCATGGTCGGCGACCACATTTGAAGGTTCTATTTTAAGTAACTTTCTTCTTGGCCATCTCATGGTCTTGATCTTAACATAGGCTAAGTATGAGAGTAAAGAGCCAGGCAAGCATTTCCATGGTAGGAAAGCTGAAACTAGTATAAGGACGGCAAGAGCAAAATGCTCAAAGCTGAAAGCCTTCCATTCTCCCGAGCCCAGCTCCGGAAGTGCAATATGGTTGCTACATGTGCCCATCTCAACAATAGGACTGCCGCCTCGATACCTAAGGATGTATCCATCCCGTAGATATGGAAATTCTCCGTGAGCCCCGTCGTTGATCTCGGTAACGATTTGCCCATCTCGCTCGAGACGAAAGAGCATGTCTTTCGATATTGCGACGCAGCGTCTAGTCCCAGTCGTCATCGTCATCCTGGACCATAGGCCGGATGGACTTATTCTTAGCGATAGCCGGGCGTTCATCGTCCGATGAGTCCGATCGCTTCTTCAGGCGAACGTCACTCTCTTTGAGAGCGCCTAGATCCAGGAGCAGTCTCTCGATGTCTATACATCTGCGGTTAGTGGCGCCTGCGAATAAGATACATCAGGACAATAGTAGACCTCTCTTACCTTCTACAGTCGTGCGCGGACCCTTAAGTTCCCGCAATGTCACCAGTTGTCTCTTAATTTCGGTGTTTCGATAGACCAGGATAGTGGGCGTATTGCGCTCGGGATAGCCCTCGATGCACATGTTGGCCCGGATCTCGCAGAACTTGATATCTCCGTACTTGGCCGCCAGGGTCCGCCAGAGTTCCGTCAACCGTTGTGACTCAACGTTGCCGCCAGTCGAGGCGAGATGAACCAAGACAAAGCAGTTGTTCGAGGCCTCCGTTACCTCGCGGGCGTAGTCGACCTTCTGGAGCGGATAGACTTGGTTGTGTACACTCGTTTGCTGCAGCGTCGAGAGCTCTGCTAGTCGCTTCTGACTGTTGTTTGACAGTATACATTAGTGTTTGGGAATTCTTCTGGTCTCGACTGGACATGTCGACATCGGGTGAGAATCCTTCCTGATTCCACCGCCGGGATGGGGGGCTGCTCGCATGGCCACAGTACCGGTATTGTTCCAGAAATGCCTCGTCTTCCTCGTCCTCTAGCTCATCCAGCTCGTCCAAATCCTTGTCTTCGAGTCTGTTTTCATATGCCTTGCGCTCCGCTTCGATCAGCGCCTCTTGGATCAACGGTTCGGGGTCCTTGGGCTTCTCCGGGATGATGCCATGCTTGCGGAGGATATCGTTCCTGCGGGGGTGGGTGAGCCATGCGGTTAAGGGGGGGGGAGGTGGTCGGAGAGCTGCTGACCATTCGGTATCTTCATTGGGATTGACTTCGACCTGCATTGTGAATAGTGCGTTTCAATGTATCTGAAGAACAGGTTGACACGATTCAGCAAGTGACATACACATAATGTTGGAGGGGCATATCTCAATGCCGCATGTTTGGAGTGTTTGCACCCAGGGGGGAAAGCAGCCACACCGCCCTGTGGCTCAGCCGCCCACAGAAACGCGGAAGGCCACCTGGAGATTGTGTTGGCCGCCGGGCAGGAACGAGGAGGAGCTGCTGCTTCTGGCTGTCTGTACTGTACTTACGGCTCCCGCTGCTACTACTGCTACCACGGCTACTACCACTACTGCTGCTGCTTCCAGTCTGGCCCCAAAACATCCTCCACCTCCTCCACCCTCTGCCCTCTTAATTGTCCCTGTTGCTTCGCGACTTCTCCCTCGGGACGGGCACCACTTGCTAATTGCTTTCTTTTGAGCTCCTTCTTTTCTGTCTCTTCTTTCCTCCTTGGAAGGATAATGAGGGCGCCGTAGTGCTTAATCCACCGCTTGAACAACGTCCGAACCGTCATACGAAACCCGCCCTTATTCAAAGCCACCATTGATTGATCCATCCTTCCACACACCCCACCCACTATCAACCACCTTCACCTCCTACGGGGCTTCCCCCTTTGCTAGTTTGAAGACCGCAATATAATCTCATTGCTGCTGCGGCAATCCCTGCAGCCCATCAGCCATCATGAGTTACGTTAAGAAAGATGAGGACGCCGACCAGACCATGATCAAGTTGGACCGGACCTCCGTATTTCAAGATGGTGAGCCTCTTCAGTCCTCTCATTGTGTTACACACTCCTGCAACCGTCGCATTCAACCTCGATAATCGTTTACTGACGACGGTCTCGCACCACTTGCGTTGGATCAGCCCGCTTGTTCAATTCCTCCCCGATATCCCCTCGAACATGCCGCACTCTCCTGACCAAGATCGCGGTCCTGCTGTTCACTGGGGAGCAGTTCCCCACGAACGAGGCCACCACCCTGTTCTTCGGCATTTCGAAGCTGTTCCAGAATAAGGACCCCTCCCTCCGGCAAATGGTCTACCTGATCCTGAAGGAATTGGCAAACACCGCCGAGGATGTGATCATGTCGACCAGTATCATCATGAAGGACACGGCTGTGGGCAGTGATGTCCTCTACCGGGCGAACGCCATCCGTGCCTTGTGCCGCATCATCGACGTAGGCGCAGACCCTATACTCTGAATTATGAAAGGAAGTAGCTGACCGTTGTCGAACCTATCAAGGCCACCACCGTGCAGGGTATCGAGCGATTGATCAAGACCGCCATCGTTGATAAGACCCCGTCGGTTTCCTCCGCAGCCCTGGTTTCATCCTACCACCTCCTCCCTATCGCGCGTGATGTCGTTCGCAGATGGCAGAGTGAGACTCAGGAGGCAGCGTCTGGCGGCAAGCAGTCGACCGGTTTCCTTGGTTTCGGAGGCAGCTCCCAGTCCCACGCCATCTCGCAGTCGAACTTCATGACCCAGTACCACGCGATCGGACTCCTGTACCAGATGCGCTCCCACGACCGGATGGCCCTCGTCAAGATGGTGCAGCAGTATGGTGCGGCCGGGGTGGTCAAGAGCCCTGCTGCGCTTGTTCTTCTGGTGCGATTGGCGGCCAAGTTGGCGGAGGAGGACCCTGGCTTGCGGAAACCGATGATGCAGATGCTTGATGGCTGGCTCCGACACAAGCACGAGATGGTTAACTTCGAAGCGGCCAAGGCCATTTGCGATATGCGCGATGTCTCCGACGCGGAAGCTTCCCAGGCTGTTCACGTCCTGCAGCTGTTCCTATCCTCGCCTCGCGCGATCACCAAGTTTGCGGCCATCCGCATTCTCCACAACTTCGCCTCCTTCAAGCCCCACGTGGTCAACGTCTGCAACCCCGATATCGAGTCGCTGATCTCGAACTCTAACCGCTCCATCGCTACCTTCGCCATCACTACTCTCCTGAAGACGGGCAATGAGGCTAGCGTCGACCGCCTCATGAAGCAGATCTCCGGTTTCATGGCTGATATCACTGATGAGTTCAAGATTACGATTGTTGAGGCTATCCGCACCCTTTGCTTGAAGTTCCCCAGCAAGCAGGCCGGTATGCTGGCCTTCTTGAGCGGTATCTTGAGGGATGAGGGTGGATATGAGTTCAAGCGCAGTGTCGTTGAGAGCATGTTCGACCTCATCAAGTTCGTCCCTGAAAGCAAGGAAGACGGTGAGCTCTCCCTTTGTGTTTGCAAATGTGACCCAGACTAATTACTTCTCAAGCTCTTGCGCATCTGTGTGAGTTCATTGAGGACTGCGAATTCACCAAGTTGTCCGTGAGAATTTTGCACCTGCTCGGTGTGGAAGGCCCTAAGACGTCCCACCCCACCAAGTACATCCGCTACATCTACAACCGCGTCGTTCTGGAGAATGCTATTGTCCGGGCTGCCGCCGTGACCGCTTTGGCCAAGTTTGGCGTTGGCCAGAAGGACCCCGAGGTCAAGTCGAGTGTCTCCGTTCTTCTCACCCGCTGTTTGGATGATGTTGATGATGAAGTCCGTGATCGCGCCGCTCTGAACTTGCGTTTGATGAGCGAGGAGGATGAGAAGGCTTCCCAGTTCATCAGCAATGGTAAGTCCTGCCTGGCATATCGCGGTCAAGTTCGAATTGTGCGCTGACGATTGCAGAATCGATGTATTCCCTGTCGACGTTCGAGCACCAACTTGTCATGTATGTGACGTCGAACGACAAGCAAACATTTGCTGCGGCCTTTGACGTCTCCACGATCCCGATCGTCACACAAGAACAAGCGTTGGCTGAGGAGCGGACGAAGAAGCTCACCAGCGCGACACCCACGCTCAAGGCACCCACCACCGGGCCCCCGAAGAGCAAGGCCAACGGAGTGGCTGAGGCGGCTACCGTGGCTGTTACCCAGAAATACGCCGAGCAGCTCATGCAGATCCCCGAGCTCAAGGAGTATGGCACGTTGCTCAAGTCCTCTGCTCCCGTTGAACTTACGGAAAGCGAGACTGAGTATGTCGTGACCGCTGTCAAGCACGTTTTCAAGGAGCACATCGTTCTGCAGTACGATATCAAGAACACTCTCCCCGATACCGTTCTGGAGGACGTGACCGTGGTCACAGTTCCAGAAGAGGAAGACATTCTGGAAGAGGAGTTCATTGTTCCTGCCCCCAAGCTTGCTACCAACGAGCCTGGTATTGTCTATGTCACATTCAAGAAGCTTGCTGGCGAGCACAGTGTCCCTGTTTCTTCGTTCACCAACACTCTCAAGTTCACCAGCAAAGAGATCGACCCCACCACTGGCGAGGCGGAGGAATCTGGATACGAGGACGAATACCAGGTCGAAGACTTGGACCTTACGGGCAGCGACTATGTTATTCCTACTTTCGCCGGCAGCTTCGACCATGTATGGGAGCAGACGGGTGCCAACGGAGAGGAGGTCAGCGAGACTCTTCAGCTCAGCAACATGAAGGGCATTGCCGGTAAGCACATACTCCCTTACAGTCAACTGAGAGCGATCCAGATGCTAATTGCAGGACAGATGCTACGGAACAACTTATCTCAACTCTCTCATTGCAGCCTTTGGAGGGCACCGATGTAGCGCTCAGCAACAGCACGCATACCCTGAAACTGTTCGGCAAGACCGTGACCGGAGGCCGGGTGGCTGCACTAATCAAGATGGCCTTCTCCAGCAAGACTGGAGTAACGACCAAGATCACCGTCCGGGCGGAGGAAGAGGGCGTTGCCCCGGCTGTGATTGCGTCCGTTGCTTAAATGCCTGTGGCCAGTTGTGTTGTGTAAACTTTTTGTAATGGAGGCATGTTCTTGAAAAGGCGCGCATCTAATTGGCGACGAGTCCTGCATTATGAGATTTTTGAAGTCTTCTCTTTACTATATTTTCTCTACGTTGTTGTTCTCCCCCCTGAACCTTTCTACTTTATATTCCACCTCAATCCGAATGTCTTCTTCTTTCCTTCGTCTTCTAGAATCCTGGTGTTGAGTTTAGATGCGATCAAAATTCTTGATACGTAGGCGTACCGATCACGTCACGTGGACCCTTAGTTGCTGTTGACACTTTGTTCTGTGACAGCAACCAATCTCAAATTCTTTTTCCATGTTCTATCCTCTCAGTCCTGAGATCCTCATTTAACTTGTTTCACAATTCGCGTCCCTAATTTCTACCTGAGAGTAGTACTCGATGGATTAATGACGGCTGCAAATCCCAGCCCAGTAACGGGTCCGAAATTTACAGTAGTGTGTAGTTTACCGGGGTATAGCCAGGAGAGAGAGCGAGCTCTATATCGTTAGGACGAGAGTTATCTTCAATTTCTTCATCTCTCATAAGCACTAAGCTGGAGTCGTCGAGGCTCCGAAACGAACAAGTATACATACACACATACTATACGCAGCTATACTGTAAACCCTTTTCGAGGCAACTAGAAATCAAATCTTCTGGTCTGTGGCAATGCGGGATCCAAGGTCGAATAGAGGGTAAGCGAATGCTAACAGATGTTAGGGACGGTGGGTGACGAAGGCAGAGACGGTTTGGATGGACGTATGGTACTTTTTCGGGTGTTGGTCGTCGTTCTTCGTCTTCCTTTCTTGGAAGGGTGTATAGTTCTGGTGTGGTGGGGTGGATTTGTTTGTAGTGTTGGATATATTTGTTTATAGTGTCGGGTGTATTTGTTTGTATTGTGGGTTCGGGAAGATGAGGGACAGGGTATATATTTCACATGTCGTATGCATCGAGCTTCGTGTGCAGACTCGTGGAGCCTTGAGATAGATGAACACATCGTGTGTGGCAGGGGATTATATCGGGGGGAAATCTTGGATGTTATGTTCGGAAAGGGGGTTTTGTTTCAGAGGTAGTAGACACCGATATCATCATCATCGTCGTCGTCGTCGGCATCGTCATCGTCATCAACAGCTTCTTCCTCATCAACAGATGTAGGTGGTGACGGAATTCCCCCGACACCAATCTGACTATTCTGCTGCTGCTGCTGCTGCTGCTGCTTCTTTTTCTTGGAAAACCGACTCCGCAATAC